TCTTTTTATGAAACTCTTGGTCTTGTGTAAAAGGGTCAGCTTATCAGATCAGGAACCATGATATTTTTAGTGGAGTACTCCACATTTTGGTTACATATTTTGGTAACAGTTGGGATATGAAGTATAAATACTTTATTACACACATAACAGTGCTCAACTGAAAGGCGCAGAATATATATATATATATATATATATATATATATATATGTGTGTGTGTGTTTGTATAAAATTTCAGACATAACTAAAAATCTATCTGAAAAAGACAGTATGAATAAAGACAAAAGGAAAACTTGCTCTAACTGTTGCATTTTGTCCTCTGATGGACTTTATCCAGGCAAATGTAAGAATTTTATTTTGCAATAAGAGTTTATAAGAGGACGAAGAACGTTGGCTAAGGTAAGTTTTCTTTTTGTCTTTATTCATACTGTCTTTTTACAAATATTTTTTAGTTAAAACTGAATTTTTATATAAACACACTAATATATATATATATATATATATATATATATATATATATATATATATAATATATTTGAAAGCCATCATGCTGTTTTTTATGCACTGATAATTGTATTTTGAAATAAGCAATATACAAAGACGAGAGGTTTCTCCTGAATCTCTTTAAATGTAAATGATTGGAAACAAATGAAATTCAAATATTTTTTTTCTTCCAAAAGAAACAATTATTTGCATGTCTGGCTATAAGTGCTTGATGAATTGTCAACATTGCCGGCTGATTATTGATGCCATTTCTCTATTGACTCTCACCCAATCAATAATGCCACTTTTCTCTGGATGATTAAATGAGGGAGAATTTCTTTTTACTTACGTCTCCATTGCATTTTTGACACTGTTTTCATTTGATTTTCTGCTTCAACGACTTTGATGCTTTGATTGTTCATTGTTTCTTTTTGTTTTTTTTACACAATATAATTTTCTTTTCTTTCATGCCTTTTGGAGCTGGTAATGTTTAGCACTTTACAGAAATTCTTTTGTCTTGGAAATTATCTTGTGTTATCATCTCTTAGCATTCAAAATTCATGACTTCCTGAAGTAATTAAAGACTTTCTCATTTCTGCTTATGAGACATTCTCCGTATTCTACCCCCCTCTCTCTCTCATATATATATATATATATATATATATATATATATATGAGAATGAATCAAATATAAATTCAAACATTCATACCATTAATTTAAAAATAGGGCTCAATATAACAGTAGAGTGATAATTCTTTATTATGGGATATTACATTTGGACATATGTAACTGCTACACAAATGCATTCATGTTTTGATGCATGACATTGCATCTCATCAGGCGGTATATATATGTGTGTGTATATATATATATATATATATATATATATATATATCTCACTCTACTGTTATATCTACTGTTTATCACTCTACTATATATATATATATATATATATATATATATATATATATATATATATATATATATATATATATATATATATATATATAAACTTATCAACTTAACTGAGTAGTGTTATTTCAGTCATGTCAACTTTGAAGTTTTGTGAGAAGTTTCTCCATATTAATTCTACTAAAGTTCTATCCATACCTTTTTTGATATCAAGCACTTTAAGACAAAAAAACCTTCCTAAAATGTCTTTCTACCAGTAAACTATGGAAAAAAAACCAACAAGTTTGGCACCTAAAACTCTTTTCAATTTAATATATATATATATATATATATATATATATATATATATATATATATATATATATATATATATATATATTCTGAGGTGGAAATCTTAATTCTACAAATATTGGATCAAACTGTGATTGTGTATGAGACTAACAGTCTTATTCCCAACAAAAGTGTGATGTCATATTCTTCTGTTGGCTGTCCAATTGCCATTATGTATTTTGTTTTAAATTTTCAACATTTCTTTGATGTTTTACAACATCTGACCTTTTAAATAGAAATTCCATTCCAGTTTTTTTTGTTTTCCTTAAAGAACTAAGAAGTAAAAATAAATTTGAATAATTTAATAATTTAAATTTGTTGTTTATCTAATGAAAAGTGTAATGTGGCCAAATCTTGTTGGAGTTTTCAAATTTAGTTGTATATCAATAATAATAATAATGTTTGCAAAAAAAAGAAATAATTTAGAATAGAAGAACAAATACACATTCAATTTCCCTCCCCCTCTTTTCTCTTTCCTTCCCTCTTTTCTCTTTCCTTCCCTCTTTTCTCTTTCCTTCCCTCTTTTCTTTTTTTCTTCCCTCTTTTCTCTTTCCTTCCCTCTTTTCTCTTTCCTTCCCTCTTTTCTCTTTCCTTCCCTCTTTTCTCTTTCCTTCCCTCTTTTCTCTTTCCTTCCCTCTTTTCTCTTTCCTTCCCTCTTTTCTCTTTCCTTCCCTCTTTTCTCTTTCCTTCCCTCTTTCTCTTTCCTTCCTCTTTTCTCTTTCCTTCCCTCTTTTCTCTTTCCTTCCCTCTTTTCTCTTTCCTTCCCTCTTTTCTCTTTCCTTCCCTCTTTTCTCTTTCCTTCCCTCTTTTCTCTTTCCTTCCCTCTTTTCTCTTTCCTTCCCTCCTTCCTCTATTTTGGTTAATCCATTCACTGACTCTTGGTGAAATTTTCTGCATGTAATCAACAGATGCCCCCCCCCCAAGTTCTGAACTGGCATAAAAATTAATTTCATTATAAAAATCTTTATATAAGTGTAAAGAACGGAGTCAATAATGTTATAAAAATTATTTGTATGTGTTCAATACAAAATGTGATATGTACCCAAAACTGGGATAAAATGGCCCTGAACATCTTGCTCCTATTCTCCACAGCAAGGTTTTAGATGAAATGCAACATAAAAAACAAATATTGAACTTGTCTTCACATGGGCCTAGACTTGTACATTACACAGCCAAAGACAAATGTATGCATTGAGACTTACAAAAAACACTTGCACCTTTCTCATTAGTTTTATTACTCATTCATTAATTAATTAATGTTCTAATCTGTAAAGAATGTAACTTATCTCGTACATAAGTGAATTCATTTCATTAAGAATTGGATAAAATAGATTTTTTTTGCACATTAGGTAATCAGCAACATTGGTACATAAGTTTAGGTTAAAGGAATAAAAAGAAAATACTTGAGAATTGCTGATTCAGAAAGAGTGAACGAGGCAGGTGTAAACAAATATATTTATCTTAAAATATAAAATTTTGTCTATAAAGCAATCATTTTTTTTTTCTTTTTAGCTGTGTGTGTATATATATATATATATATATATATATATATATATATTTCATTTTGCTTATAATCGGTGCATCTTCCTCAAATAGACAAGTATGGCTTTCAGTCTTTGTTTCTTACAGGTAGCAAACCAAACTTGTTCAGACAGGTGTCTTCACAAGGAACAACTATTAAATAACTGAGCTTACAAGATGACCATCTCTTCTTTGTTCTTTATTTTGAAATCATTGCAATTGAAATAAATTTACGGAAACCCAAATAAACAAATAAGGAGTACATATATGTCGACATACTTTTTTCTTTTCTTTTTTTTTGTTCCTTGCAAACTGACAGCATATTCTACCCGCATGAATTTATGACCTTTTTCTCTTTCTGTGTGTATTTTATGATGGAAAGAGTGAAATTCATTTATGCACATTCAATTAGGAAAGAAATCATTCTCAGACTATTTACATTTGTATGGGAAATAGAGAGAAGTTATGGAAATGTGTGTGTAATTGGATTAGTGCAATCAATAAAGTCTTGGAAACATTTCTAATTTGATCATAAACTGAGGAAGAGAATATCAAGAAGAAGAAATGAGTGGGAGCAAAATTGTTTCTAATCAATACACCCTCACCTGCAAAAGTGGTAGTGTCTTCATTACTTATTCAATTCACAATACCATATTTAAAAGTAGACTTTTAACAATTCATCTGTGTGCACTTATATATATGTCAACACTTGGAGGTGACAGGCTGTTTCATGCTAGACACAATCATCAGACTGCGAGTGTTGGGTTTTTTTTTTTGACTATATATATATATATATATATATATATATATATATAATTATTTATTCGAAAATTATATCATAAATAGATTACAAAATCAGAGATATATATTATATATATATATGGGTAGTCCATTCTGGTAGGAGTGGTTTGTTTAATTACTTATTTATTTATTTATCTGGGTTAATTTATTTTGTTATTTTCATTTTTTATTTTATATATTTACTTATTCTTTTCGGTTTTCGATGTTTTATTAAGTGTTGACATCAATGTTCACTTTTATATTTACATACGCTCTCTCTGATATTGAGCACTTTATCCCATAAATATAGCACACCTTAAAATTATATTTCTACACACACATATATATATATATATATATATATATATATATATATATCTCCAATTGAATAAATTAGAAACATTATGTCTGCTTATTTTCGTCATAATCCTTTCATATTCACAAATATTTTTCTGTATACTACAATTGAATAAGGCAAGAAATGCATTGTAATAGCGAAAATCACTTTTATTTTCCAAGTACTTTCCATCTCTTTCTGAGATCATTATCAAAGGTGCAATTGGTAAGGCAAAAAAACTGTGTAGCTATCCATTGCTGAATTTTTTTCTTTTTGCATTTAAATGCAACGGCTGACAGTTATGCTTTAGCTTTCATTAGAACGTGAATATTTATCCATCATGGAATTTTTTTTTCTTTTATGTTGGAATGTCATGGTCAAGTGTGCATTAAAGCATAAAAACTGTTCTTTTTAGAGGCATTTTAGAACATTATTACAGAAATCCGTAGTTGATTCTATTCAATGTCAGTCTAAGAAAGAGATGGAAAGTACTTGGAAAATAAGTGATTCTTACTTGTTACAGTGCCTTATACAATTGTAATATACGGAAAAATATTTGAATATGAAAGGATTATAAGCAAACATAATGTTTGTAATTTATTCAATCATACATGCCTAAAACAGAATTTTCTACCTAAATACACAAATATATATATATATATATATATATATATATATATATATGTGTTTGTGTGTATGTATGTATGTATGTATGTATGCACGCCATTGATCTGTTACAAGGCCCAAGATTCACTAAAGAGTTACTGGCTGAAAAAGGAGGTTGTTGTATGAACACAAGAGGAGATACGGTGTGGCTCATTAGGATATTTTAGCTGATTGAATGGTTTGTTTTTATGGCTTATCAAATATTTTTAAATTTTAAGTTTTGATTTAGTAATTATAAGTCTTAATAATTAATCCATAGATGGGGGAGAGAAGATATGAATTTTACCCTTAGGGTATTTGCATGTAAGTGAATATAACAAACCCAACTGGAATTGGAACTCGGCTTTCCAATATAGGATATGTTGAAAAAGTAATGTTTGACTCTAGACCAGAAAAAGGTTAATATTGCACCAATCATGGAAGCAACCTGTGGGAGTAGGTGGTGTCGAGGTAGTGTTTCTTGCTAAGAAGCTGTTCAAATGGAAATTCCTTCTTGCTAATGGCATACGAAGTGGGTGGGGATGATTCTTACCTGCATGGAAGGTCTTAGCTTTGATGGTCTAAGCTGGTGGAAACTAAAGAATGGCTCTCTCCAGGAGATTTGCTACAGAAATTGTGATAGTAGGTAGAAGCTTCTCCGATAGATATATTGTGTATTATTAATACATATGAGTAAAATCACTTCTACCTGAAACAAAAACCATTTCTTTAATTTTCCTTTATATATAAAAATGCATGCATTACATCTTGATTATATACCTGGATATTTAGATTAGGTCATTGAGGATATCATTTCAAGGGGAATATCTACATACTTATCTGTATTCAGTCTACTTCCAGTCTAAACATGTTTAACCTTTTATTCTTTCTTAAGTTTTCAGTTTCTTATATAATTCAGTTGGCCTGTTAATGGATGTCCGTGTGTTATTATAATAAAACTTAAACAGGCTCACATCTCCACTTCCTAAGAAATCTGGCTTATTTTAAGCACTGACAGATGGTGACACTATAGTTCTTTGCTTACTCTTTCTCCAAAAGTTAATGTGTCCAAATGACATTTGTTAAGACCCTGCTTGTAGAGAATTAAAGTTTCAACTGACTTAGGAGATCATTGGTGGGATGGATGCAACATTTTTATTTTTTATTATGTCTATTTTTTTTTTCTTTTCCTTACTCCCTAAAACCTTTTCATACTGAGCAAATTCTTGTTCGTCCCTCTCTTACTTGCTCACTTTCTCCTTCTGTTGCCTGTCACTCCTATCTTGTTCTCTTCCTCTGTCTTCTTACTTTTATCTTATGTTCGGGTGGGGGTCACCATAAGAATAGCCCCATGTCTGTTCACTTAATCATAAGGTCAGTTTTGCATCAAGGAAATAATTTTGTGTGAAACTACTTCATTTAAACTAAAGGAAGTCATGCTTCGTATTATGTAACATGCAAGAACTTTTTTTTTCTCTCTATCTCTCTCTCTATCTCTCTCTCTCTATCTCTCTCTCTATATCTCTTTATCTCTATCTCTCTATCTCTCTATCTCTATATCTCTCTATCTCTATATCTCTCTATCTCTATATCTCTCTATCTCTATATCTCTCTATCTCTATATCTCTCTATCTCTATATCTCTCTATCTCTATATCTCTCTATCTCTATATCTCTATATCTCTCTATCTCTCCCTCTCTATCTCTGTATCTCCATCTCTGTCTCTCTATCTCTATATCTCCATCTCTATATCTCCCTATCTATATCCCATCCTCTCTCTCTCCCCATCTCTATCCTCCATCTCTATCCCCCATCTCTATATCTCTCCCATCTCTATATCTCTCTATCTCTATCTCTCTATCTCTATATCTCTCTCCCTCTATCCCCTCTCTATCTCCCATCCCATATCTCTCATCTCTATATCTCTCTATCTCATATCCCTCTATCTCTATATCTCCCATCTCTCTATCTCTCTATCTCTATATCTCTCCTCATCTCTCTATCTCTATCTCTCTATCTCTATATCTCTCTATCTCTATATCTCTCTATCTCTATATCTCTCTATCTCTATATCTCTCTATCTCTCTATCTCTATATCTCTCTATCTCTATATCTCTCATCTCTCTATCTCTCTCTATCTCTCTATCTCTCTATCTCTCTATCTCTCTATCTCTATATCTCTCTATCTCTATATCTCTCTATCTCTATATCTCTCTATCTCTATATCTCTCTAAATTTACTAAAGCCCTGCAATTCTCATGTAAGGACAAAAAACAAAAAACTTCGCTAGGTTGAGTTGCTTTTGTTTTTTTTATTTCTTCCTTCCCCATATTTTGGTGTATGAAATTTTTTTTATTCTGCATTTCTCTTCCCTTTTTCTTTTATTTTTTTCTTTCAGAATCGCTATCTTTGTCTTGGAACATTCATTTTCTTTCTTGACCTTCCCCTTTACATTGTTTACCTTCCTTTCTCCTTCCACTCCATTTTTTTTTAACTTCTCTGCACTTTCTATTTGACATTCTTTTCCTATTGTCTCCTCTCTCGGCACACCCTATTTCTCTTTACCTTCTTTAATTAACCCATTCACATTCAGAAATTGCTTAGAACAAAAATCTGACAGTCAATATAGATTTTGCCTAAACTTGCTTTATCATTCTTTAACATCAAGAATTGCTTAACATTATAGAGTGGTATAGACTAAAACACTATTTCCAGCTTACTTGAGAAATACTTTTTATTACCTCTAAATTAGAAATTAATTATGTTATATTTTTATCAAAATATTTTTTAATTATAATAAACCTTTTCTGAACTTTACCCTATGGTACCTCGACGTCATGAATTTAAACATAGTACTAGATTGGTGATAAGATATCATTTTACAGTCAAAATGGTGAGAGATATAACCAGAAGTTCTATGCCAAGTTTCTTTCTCAAAAAAAAAAAGAATTTAAATACAATGTCAATCATTATTTTCTGTTGTAATTTCACTTCTTTTATTGTTCTCCCTCCTTAATAATTTAATAATGTTTTTTTTTTTTTTTTTTTTTCTCTCTATTTCACACTTAATAAACCACTGCAGTTAGTTGATTTTGTTGTTGTTGCCTTGCTTGGGATGAAATGATAAAAAAAACCCCATCATACTTGCATTTTAACAAATCTTTAAATCACTTTTTCTTAAGATCTTAAAATATTGATAAATGTTGAAAATAGACTGGTTGCTTAGTTTAGATTTGCATTTTTGTTGCTTAAAAACTTGGCCGAGAAGATGGCCTTGACCGTTGACATGTGTTTGAAAAATGCTTTAAAAAAAAAAAAAAGGTCAGTTCCGTTTACTCAATTTATCTTTCAAGCTTTTTTTTTTTTTGTTAATAGATGTATGATGGTAGATGATCCATGTAGGTATTCATGTGTCCCAAATCCTCTCTCTATTTATATTGATTTTCTGTATTTGAAATCATCAGACTTTAATGCTGCCAATTCTTCTGTCCTCTTTGACATTGGTAAGTGGTTAAGAATTGTTTTAGATTCATTGGAGCCTCTTGAACATTTACACTGGCTACACCCATGATTACTAATGATTTGAACACTCGTGTTTTTCATAAGCATCTCTCTCAACATTGTGCTTAGAAAGAAAGAAAAAGAGGAAAAAATGGTCTCGTTAGCAGTATCTTCATTTTTATTTTTATATTTTTTTCGTTATTCCCTTTGCCATCTTAACCCCAATTCTGTTATGCTAATTTAAAAATGTTATAATTCTAACAATTTGGAAGCAAAAATTTTAAACTAGGTATTAAAAAAAAAAAAAAAATGAGAATTCCATATTTTATTTTAAAATTTTATTCTTTAAAAAAAAAAAGAAAAAAAAAAGAATCAAATCAAAAAACGTTGGTTTTTGCACAATTAGTAAACTCCAAAATCTTCTTATTCTCCTCAGCAAGCATGCACTGGCTTATTTTCTCTCAGGTGTTAACAGGTTAGTTGATGGAGATTTTACTTTGTTAAGCATGAGTTTATTTTCATCAAATGTTAATTTTTTTTCTTTCTCATACAATTGTCCTCACTTACATCACATTCTTATCTGAAGTGAGAATGAAAAAAAAAAGTTTTATTGAATAATGGTTTCAAAGCACAAAGGGTAATGAAGACAATTTGGATATGAGAAACTAGTGCATCCTTGAAGAGAAAAACTCAAATGCTGTGATTACTCCAGTAAGAATAAATCTTTTTATCTATCACAGAACTCTGATAGCAGTATGTGGTTCTAATTGTTTTATTATTAATTATTTTTATTGATCATCTCTTGTATCTAATTTAAAGATTAATCTTTATTATAAGTATAGAGAAAAAAATTATTGGAAGAAAAAAAAAAATGGTTTCTTGGTGATAAGGAGAAATTGGGATAATTCATTTTTCAAACTGTTGTCTTTTTTGGGCAGATACAACCTTCAACATTCTTTAGAATTCACTAAGTTCTATTTTTTTCCCCCCTATCATTTTTATCTTTTTAACTCAAATCTACTAATCCATAACATGGAACCATAACATTTAATCCTGTGATTCTACTGGAATGTGATGTTTAAAGGAAAGGATATGCGAAAGGATTAATAATAATAATGATAATAATAATCTCATAATAATAGGAGGCAACATAGTCTTTGACCTTGCTCAAGTTGAAATGTTAAAATACTAATTTGAAAAATAGATGGAGTAATGAATGGAATTCATCTCAGAACTTGAGAACATCAGTTAAGATCTCTTGTAAAGAAAGTCATGTAGAAAAAAAAAAAAGTAAGGAAGATTAATAAATTTATGTCCAATTGCATGTCAATCAGACAATGACAGAATTGCTATCATTAACAAATAATTCAGACTGAATTTTTCAACTATCTTTTACTTCTACTGACATTTTTCAATATAGGACCTGCACATATATATATATATATATATATATATATATATATATATATATATATATATATATATATATATATATATATATATATTACACACACTCTTTATATGTATATTTTTATCTGATATGTTCATTTTTCCTTCAGCTCTTGGCCTTCCTGATAATTCTCATTAAATCAATTGCTAATTACATTTGAGGTCGTTTATCCTCATCATTATCACCACAAAGCATTGACTTTGTATCGACCCCACTCTTCGTGTAAGCCAATTCAGCCTCATCATCATTTGTTGCCCATTATCTGATTCAATAGACTTTTGGCAAGATGCACTCTTATTTAAGCCTAATATTTAGATTTTCTTCTTCCCAATCAGAAACAGAAAGGAAGCTTAATGTTTGGAACCTTCATGTATTGGTTAGATTAATAACGTCTTTGGTCCTTTATTGTTGCTGTGAGCATTGGTCTTTTAGTTCCAGTCCAGATTGATATGTAACCCAAAAATGTGGAGCTATTTTGATGATTAGTTAATTGATTTATTTCTTGCAGCCTATTTTAAGCCAATTGTAAGATTTTTTATTTTATTATTTTTTTTTTGTTGTTGTTGAGGTAATAATGATTTAGTGATAAAAGTCTTACAAATTAATCCATAACTGGGGGTGGGGAGAAGAGGTGTGTACATATCTAATCAGAATTTTTTATTACATTCAATATATAAACGGATCCCTCACTTTGTGACCAAGGTAGTTTCTATATATTTATATTCAGGAAAATGTATAAAGTTGTGTAAAGACATGTCTGTTTAGATAATCAGTATTTAATTGATTTATTTTTTTGTTTTTATTTTTTGCAGTTTATTTAAAGCCAGAAAACATTTTTAGATTAAGATATTTTTTTTTTTTTCTTTGATATAATGGTTTAACCTCACTAATTAACTCCTAGCTGGGGGTAGAAGTGGATTCACACCTTTCCCAAGGGTATTTGCATGTAAGTGAATATAACGGACCCAACTGGAATTGGAACTCAGCTCTCCAATTAACAATTCTAGGCCATTATCCATTACACCACCTACACATTCAAGCTTCCAGCACCTGGAATTCCCAAGTGGTTACCCATCTAGATACTGACCAGGCTCTACATTCGGTGAATGCACAGGAACCAGTGTTTCTATGTGATGTGGACCGTAAGCTCAGCTATTTTATGTTGAGACAAATTAGTGACAAATAAATATCTCTTTCTTTATCGAATTCTTAATTGACTAACATAGTATTTGTTTTATCTATATTTTAAAATTCTTTCTTTCTCTTAATACCTATTTCTCTCTTAGGACTGACTCTCCTCTTTCTCTTTTTGCATGCATGACTCATTCACCCAAACTGCCACCCTCATGACTTTACCTTTTCCTCCACTCTCTCCTTTCCAACTTATTCTTCCACTCATCCACTCTTTCTATCCAGGCTGGAACCATAAGCTTCCAACTCTTGGAAAGACATGAGAGAGAGGATGCCATTGAAAGGAAGAAGAAGAAGCCAAGCTGAGCTTGTAATGTAAATGCTATGGTTGCTATCTGGCACCATGAGATTCAAGGAATTGACTGATTTTTATCACACGCTTTTCATTTCTTTCTTCCTTCCTTCACTCACAGCTGTGTCATTTTTCAGTAGGAAAGCATTTTTGCCAGCCTTGTACAGCATGCAATCAGCATAGTGTGTGTGTGTACTCACTCACTCACTCACTCACTCACTCATCCAATTCCCTACCCAGCCCAAGTGCTTATCAACCTTGTCAAGGTAGAGACACTCAGAGAAGCACAGTCATTTCAGTGATGTATGATTATCATTCTCTTTTATTAACCAGAATGCTGTAATTAAGACAAGCTAATGCTCAACCTCTGCTCTGCTTTTCTACTGAATTATTATTGCCTTCTTGTGAAGAGTGTCTGGTGAATTAAAACTTATTACATTTTCTCTTTGATAATTCTTATGTAATATATGTTGAGAACATGAGATAAATAAGAGTCTACACAATGTCGGTTTTTATTTTGCATGTCGGTGTTTTCGCAATGAAACTGATATTAACCAACCTGTATTGATACAATTTTCAGGTCATACTTATATAAGAATTATATCATGTGAGTTTTCAGTTTATAATATTTATCCTTATTAAACATATTGATAAGGACTTCTTTTGTCTGGATGTGAGGCCTTATAATGTAAACAAAAGGCATATAGGTTTTTAGGATTAATACAAATATAAAATTTGTCACTTAGCTGTTTGATGTCATATTAAGCACCCAGAATTTTGTAGACTAACTTTTTTGTAATCATTTCATCCACTCATCAGGAGGCTTAAGCAATTGGCTGATGCTTTTCTCATTTTCATTATTTTTATACTTGGTTAAAAAAAAAAAAAAAATTTATGCACCATTGTTGTTACAGTAATTTTTTTTTTTTTTTGTATGTGTATATATATATATATATATATGTATGTATGTGTGTGTGTGCGCGCGCACACACGTGTATGTGTAGAACGTGGTATTTATTTTTTCTTTTCGTATTTTTCTTGTCTCATTATATTCTCTTCC